GGTTACATCTTTTAGGGGAAGTTTTTTTTTTTTTCTTTTTTTTTTTTTTTCTTCCCCTGGCAAAAATGCTGACTCGAGTTAATTTAACCACTTTTCAAATTTATGCTGGTTTCCCGGAATAGTTTTAGTTGTGAGAAAGAAGCTGAAAAATGTGCTAGAAATGTAAAAATATCTGATACAATTTTTAGATGCACAATGAGGCTTTATGTTAAAGTATGCTTCCATTTTATTTTTTTTTTAATTTATTGCAGCATCTTAGAAAGAAGTGGTTTTGAGCCACATTTTTTGAGACAAAATGTTTTTCCTTTGACATTCTAGTCCCCTGCATTTGTAAATCTATTTCTGAGTAGGCCTCAAACTTAAAAAATTATGACCTTGATGGAACCCCAAAATAGCTGATTCAGATGAGAATGGGAAAGTCCTGAGGACTTCAGAGCAAGCCCAGTCCTTCGAAGAAGCCATAAGTAGTTTTTTTCATGCTCTTTTATTGGTTTTCCATCCCATTGGCCTCAGAAGGGCTTGGACTCTTGTCCCACACTAACTGGTCCTTCAGTCGTCCTCAAAAAAAGATTGCAGTGCAGGTAGCTCTTGCCAACGGTCACAGATTTGTAGTTAATGGTCAGACTGCCCTATCCTTGGAATCAGGCGTTAATCAAGGGCGGTGGAAGATCCTGCTTGCTGGGATAAGGAGAGGCAGAGTTGAATTTCCTTCGCCATCAATATTGCTGTGTAATGACTCCTTCTTGCATTTCTTTTCATGCCCATCTTCAGTGCGATCCCTATGTGAAGATTTCCGTGGGAAAGAAATCCATAAATGACCAAGAAAATTACCTTCCCTGTACGCTGGAGCCTGTCTTTGGAAAGTGAGTTTTGATTCAGTTTGGAGTCCGTGTGATCTTTTATGGCATATTGAGGGAAGGGGGCTGGGCCAGCCAGTGCTTCCCATTCCAGCCTACGTTCAAGGCCAGGTTGGACAGGGCTCTGAGCAATGATCTCATTGAAGATGCCCCTGCCCGTGGCAGAGGAGTTGGACTAGATGACCTTTAAAGGTCCCTTCCAACACAAACCATTCAGTGATTCCCTTGGCATGCCCTTGGCTCATGGCCAACCTTGCTGAAGGGAGTCTTGGCCGTGGCTTGACCGCTATCCTACCCACCATGGTTGGTGTTTATCTTCTCCTTGGGACTTTTGAGCTGTGGAGCATGGACTAGGCCTGCTCTGTCATCAATGGAGATATCAGAAGGGTTGTTTAGACCTGAGGTTCCCCTGTGGAGATATCTGCCTCATCCCACTGATGGTAGAGAGAGTCTGGGGAAACCCTGCTCCTCATTTAGGCACTTTGGCTAAATGTCTGAAGAAAAGACACTTATGATGAAGATGAATGGAGACCTGTTTGATTAGGCTGTGGCATGGAACACCTCAAAATCAGATGCTCTGAAAAAGTAGTATCTATGAACAGGATATGGACTGGTTGAGTTGTTTGCCTTGCAGTAGGGCCACAAAGGTGATAATGTTGTTTTCAGAAAAGGGTATTCGTCAGAGCTGGGAAGCACCACGGGGACCAGGCAAAGCGGAGGGAGGCAGGGGAAAACCTGGTGCTCAGCCTCCACATGTCCATAGGACTTTGGTCTCCCAGAAAAGCTGGGATTAGACGTAGGGGGTTATGCTTCAGCACAAAGAAGGGTCAAGCCCTACTCCACAGGACGTCTAGCTGGTTTTCTTAGGCGGTTCTCGCCATCTCAGGCTGTCAATGCTGTGACACCTTCCCAACAAAGCAAGACGGAGAGGGAGATACACCATCTACAAGGATGAAGGAAAAGGGAGAGGGATGGCGAGGGTGAGACCTGGGAGGACAGCGTGCATTAGACAAGACCTTTGCTCCTCTTCTGCCTAATGGAGATGGCAGCTCTGACCTTCCTACGATGAATTCAAAATTCCCACCTAGCATGAGGGAGCCCTGGTCTCTGGTGGACCAGGACCTACCGCCCTGTGGCAGAGCCTGGTGGGCTCTGCTAGGCTGAGTAAGTCCTGCTTGGCCAAGCCTGGCTCCTGGCCAGAGGCTGTCTAGACAGCGTGCTGCACCTCCCACCCGGTCTTTAAAGCAAGATGTAAAACCGAGGTCCTGGCTGCTGGCGGCTATTAAACCTCTCGTTTCATGAGCTTTTCCCTCGGCGGCTGGCTGCCGTCCAGCTTTAGCTAATTACTTTCTGCTGACCCCAGTTCCTCCTGCACTCTTAATTGGTGGCATAATTACTCACTTCCCCTCCTTAAAAGCTGCTGTGGGGTGGGTGCTGGCAGTGGGAATGGGCATCATGTTTCTCCCCAGCATTGCCTGCCTTTCAGCAGCAGGTGGAGGGGTTCCTGGTAGTGCTGGGCCAGACCTGGACCATCCTGCTCACCCAATTGTACCACCTTCTGCGTCGCCATCATTCATCAGCACTGGTTCGGTCAGGATTGGGGTCCTGTGTTTTGGCAGGGTCTTGGTGCTTTGTCTGTTGCCGTCCTTTATGTGAGGAGGGAGAGGAAGGTTTGCTCTTGCCTTATTTTAGGTCAGTATGTGGACTGTGGTGTAATGATGGCAGAGGAGACAGCACAGAAGAAAGGGGCTTAGGACCGGGAGCAGAGGACAAGGAGGTTTTGAGGGTCAGTCTCTGACCACAAGCTTGGCCCAGGCAGGCTCGACTCCTGTTTTGGACATTCGCTCTTCAGGCTTAAAGAGCAGATAGTTTTCCAAAGTTGTCGTTTCTCCTCCTTTCAAATTCCATGGCAATGGTTATTCCCGACTCTCACCCACTGCTCTTTTTCCCTGGATATTGCAATGACCACCGTCATGTCCAGTCAGCAGACGGAGAAACTGAGCAGGGACAAAGTTTGCCTGAGGATAATTCAACCAGGCAAAAATAAACCCAAGGCATGCTTGCTTAGTTGCATCGCCACAAGCTAAGCCAGTACAACACAGCACTGATAGTACTGGACCAATGTGACAAAGATGCTCAGTGGGTGTACGGTCCTTCCCGGCACGGGTGGGTTGGGATGGTGTGTGAGTCCATTTCCCGTGGGGCTCAGCAGCATGAACCCCCATCTCATGGGTATTTCTGGGCTCCCGTTGTGCAGGATGTTCGAGCTGAGCTGCACTCTGCCCCTGGAGAAGGACTTGAAGATCACGCTCTACGACTACGACCTCCTGTCGAAGGATGAGAAGATTGGGGAGACTGTCATAGACCTGGAGAACCGGTTCCTATCAAAATACGGGGCGCGCTGTGGCCTCCCCCAAACCTACTGCGTGTAGGTACCTCTGTGGGCTCGGGCTGGGGGTCTCTGTAGCTGCCAGGGCTGTGCGGTGCTGAGCTGGCCATGGGGACCGGGACGATGTCCCAGCCCCGGGGTCTGCTATCGCAGGGCTGTCCCAGGGGGACCCGACCGATGCTGTACTTCACCGCAGAGATATGTCTTCAGATCGATTCACACCAGAGAAGCCCCACATTTAAGGAAATTCCTCGAGCCCTGGCTCTTCTCCAGAAGCATAAAATGCTTCAAATAACAGAAATGTCCTTGGGGAAATCCCGTTAGGTCCCTGATACCTTTTGGGCACACCGTGGTGAGGACACCCCTCATGCACAGGACCTGCTGAAAGGTGATGTGGTGGGGCTGGGGGGGCCATCAGGGCACCCTAGCCCTGCAAGCTGGCTCTGAGTGGGCTGTGGGACATGCAACCCCATTCACCAGTGGACACAGACTCAGAGCGAGCTGCACTTTCCTCAGAGCAGCCCTCTTTGGTGTGACGTTGGGGCTGGAAGATGTTTTATCGCATGTTGAGCTGCTGTTTTCCCTCCTGTTTGGTTTCAGCTCTGGACCCAACCAGTGGCGAGACCAACTCCGTCCTTCCCAGCTGCTTCACCTCTTCTCCCTGCAGCACCACTACAAGGCTCCCACCTACAAGTCTGACCGGATCATCTTCAGGGAGCACGAGTACATCCTCTCTGAGCTGGGTAAGGTAACGGGGATGCTTCGGGGTAGCAAATAGCTTTCCTTTATCCAGAGCAAGGGATGGAGTTGGAGGTCATGAACATATCACAGTGGGGGGCTATCCGGGGGGCCAGGACTCAGCGATGGTCACATCCCCATCCTCCTCACCTTGCTGTCCAGGTTGGCTCTGCACCTTTCCCAAACTTGGCTCTGCCCCAAAGGTTGCAGGTTGCAGCTGGATCTGCACCAAAGCCCGGGGCTGAACCCAAACCTGCAATCCATCCACGTTAACTTTGGCCTTGGGTGACTGCCCTTTGCTGCTTGCAGCAAACCGAGTACACGCAGGCTGGGAGCGGCAAAGTCCATCGCAGGCAGAGAGATTCCAGCCTGATCTTCCAGCTGCTGCTTGGGCTGGAGGAGCAGATGTGCCGATTGCATCTCTGCGTTTCGGGGCTGGAGTCAGTAGAGGGAGGTAATATCATACACACAGTGCCCAGGGTATCGCACCGCGGCTCGCACCTCGGGGGGCAAGGTGTGCTTGGGATGGAAGTGCAAAATCAGCTTCTGCCAGCAAGGAGAAACTATTACCGAGTGTTGGGGAGGCATTTTCTTGTTTGCAGAAAAAAACCCACTGACACCTGCAATAGCCTGGGTACCAACTCATGCCCGTCTGACTGGCATCCTTGGGGGCAGGAGTTTGCCTTTTTAGAGAAAACTCTGCTTTAAAGCACGGAAGGGGTGCTTTGGCCCAGGGAGGAGGTGAAACCCTACTGTACATGGCCCAGGAGGTGCAGTTTGACTTTATTAAGGCCACTACAGTATCGCAGAGCCACCAAGGAGGACTTGGCCTGCAGAGGCATGAGACGAGACACAACCCAGGACTGATCCCTCTCCCTGCTTTTGGGAATCAAGGCACAAATTCATGGCTCTCCCCTTAGAAGGAGGAGGAGCGGGGAAGCAACGTCTCCTTTGCAGCCTCTTGTTATGCGAAAGGTTTTTAGCGAGGGCTGGAAAGGTGTTAAACCGAGCGGGGTCTTCCCCCCTCTCCCAGCCCCTGCCTTTCACCTTCCTCTGCTTTAATGGCAATCAGTTCAAAAAACAGAACAAAGTCTGATGCTTGACCTCAAGGAGATCTGGAAACCAGCTGTGTTCGCAGAGCAATGTCAGATCTGAACCTGGCGGTATAAAGTGAAGCTATTAAACACGAGAGCATGGGTTTTACAAGCACTGCACCCGGACCATTATTCCATAACCCCCACATTTGTTGTTTTCTGAGAGATTTTTCTTTTTCCTGTGCATACGCGCACACACACACACACACACGCATGCACACACACCAGGTTTCCACTGCTTGAGAAATAGCCCATATGTCTGAAGTTAACCACTTCAAGATATTGCCAAGAAAGGAGCTGGGATATATCACCTGAAAGTTGCAGAGCTCTAATAATATTTATGAAGCGCATTTCGTTTCAAAGGTCCTCGAAGGCACCACGGCCTTGAAACGCTGTGGCTGAACAGCAACCGTCTCGGGGGGTGATGTCTTCCACCAGCCCCAGCATGGCATGTGGGATGGGGAAGCAGGAGCAGGCTCAGCCAAGGCCAAGTTGCCCATCCTCCGTACCCGGGTGGATGTAACAGGGATCCTGAATGACGGGGAAGAGAAGGCAAAAATGTCCATTATTGATTTGTCTTGTCTGACCTATTTGGGGAAGGATTAGGGTCTGGTGTGGAGTGGGTGAGGAGGTGGAGATGTTTTCAGGTCTGCTCACAGATGGCTTGATGTTCGCTGTGGCTGTCGTGCGATGACATGTTTCAGTGAAAGACCACAAATACCCCAGCGAGAGCAGTGTGGACCAGAGCAGGGATTAGAACCGGCCATCAAGCTGTGCTGGTGGTGTCTGCATGGCCATCTTTTTCCTCTCATTTCTGTCTTTCATCCCAAACCCAGCAGGGAAGAAGTGGGACACTGTAGGGAACTCCTTCCCACTGCACTCGTTGCTGCCCAACTGAAGATGCTGGATGGTTTTAAATGAGAGGATTTAAACAATATCCATCACAGGAGTGCTTGCAAACTGCACCAGAGTCGACCCTTTCATCTCCTCTCCCTGAAGAGCTTTGATCACACGTTAAATAAACCTCTGCCAGGGGTGGGAACAGCAGCAGAGCAGCAGCGTGGGCTGGGGGGCTGCTGGGCACCCTGCAGCCCCAACTGCTATGATTTTTGGGGGCTTGAACCCTTGAGCAGGATCAAAGACTGGACTCTCCTTTCCATATGCTTCAGCTTGGTCCTTGCAAAGTTCCACTTGCTGTAATTTGGGGAGGGGACTTGCACAAGAGTCCCCACAGGTCCCTGTCCCATTGCATGGTGGTTTGCCCACGTGTCCCACTGGGAATGCGTTGCCCTGTGCCCAGGAGGGTTTGTGATGATGGTGGATTTGCAAACGGAGGCTGTGTTCCTTCTGCTTGCCCCTGTCTGCAACGAGGCTAGTGGGCTTATGCTTGGTCCCGCGGGGTGGTCAGAATCCAGCCCTGCACGGCCACGGCCATGGCACGGCATAATGCTGCTCTTTGCTCTGTGGCAGAGGACGGCAAACCCCTCAACCCTCACCTGGGGCCGGTGGAGGAGCGTCTCGCCCTGTATGCCCTGCGGAAACAAGGGCTGGTGCCGGAGCATGTGGAGACGAGACCTCTTTACAGCCCTCTCCAGCCAGAAATCGAGCAGGTGGGTGATGCGACATGTCCGGGACAAGACCAAGAGCATCATCTCCTTTCCATCCAATGCTAAGGAGCAGGTGACTGGCTGGCTGCGGAGCCATGCTGAGGATGCCTACCCCAGGAGATGGGCTTTTCCCGGGGGGGGGACTCAGCCTGTGGGACAGAGCAGAGCACCCGCTATCGAACGCAGACCGGAGCTCAGCTCCGTGGCTGACTTGCTCAGGGTGCTGGAGGAGATCAATTCCAGCCTCCTGTGTTCATCATCATCAATATTTGCTTGCAATTTTAAATTTTTTTTTTTTTTTTCTCTGTGGGAAAGCCATTTCTGATCTGAAAGTTTTTGTGCAGAATTCTTCTATAGCGGGAACGCTACCACAGGCTCCTTTGGCAATGCAGCAGCGTGATTTCTGCAGCACGAGCCCACCCTTGGAGGTGTAAAGCGTTAGTACTGTTGGAGACTGGGTGTTTTTAAGCCAAATGAAAACTAAACGGGCTTCCATCCGAACCCAATCAAAACCCAGGTATCTGTAGTTAGCCTAACCCCTTTTCTTTGATTAACACATACGTGCACTTTATGCACTTGGATCAAAAAATGCTGCTTCCTGAAGAACAAAATGATTAATTATCATCTGTCATACGTGTTCAGTTGCGTTGCAAAGGCAGTTCCAAGAGACCAGCTCTGCAACTGGTGTAAACGTGCCCCGCCACCGATCTGCACTGTTTCAGCCATTGCCCTTCGGGGGTTCATTTTTAAGCAGACCACCTCTCCGGCGGCGGGAGAGGAGAGTTGTCGGCAGAAGTAAATACACTGGCAACTACTCGAACATCTTTTCATCTTAATGAAGATGCTGATTAGAGGCAGGAGGTGGCTGCTGTCGGTTGATGAGTGGGTCTGTCCTCCTCTGACAGGTACAGGTGCCATGGTCTTGTTGGACCAGGCGTGGAGACTAGGAAGGGTGCTTCCTCCGTGCCATGGGGTTGCATACGGGCAGAGCAATCAGGGTCTGCCCTGGACCAGTGCTCCTACCAAGAATATCCGTGGGGGTGATGCTGGGTCCAGGGGATTAACCTGTGTGACTTGGTACACGTTGCATTCAGGGTGGTTCCCAAAAGCGTGGCTGTGACCTGCTGCAAAGCCGCAGAACAGGCTGGCTCTGTCGGGCGGTTTGTAGTGAGCTAAAAGCCAGGTTGGGCTTTTAAAGTTTTCTGCTGAAATGGAAGATTTTCTTGCCAAAAAGCAAGTGAACCACAAACCCCTCTGTGATGGGCTGATTGTCAAAGGATGGCTTTTTTTTTTTTTTTTTCTTTCAGCCCTTGAGACTGCACAGTAAAATATTTTATTGGCACCCATTGGTGTTTTACAGTAAAAGAGACCACCTAAAAACACCTCCCCTGAGATTTCAGCTGCATTTCTGCTGCTCTCTCCCTGGAAGAACTTTGTGAAAGTGGAATTAGATTCCCCTCTCCTCATCCCATCCTCTGCTCCCATGGTCAGAACCCCATAAACCAACTGTCCAGCTGGTGACAACTGGTGACATCGTGGAAAATGAGTGATCCGCTTGCTTCTTCAACACCTCCCATGGACCTAGTCTTGAGTCTGTCCTATGTAAAGATAGTCAGCCATGGAAAGTAAAGCCAGAGTGCACCTTCAGCTTATCCAGACCAACCACTTAGGTATCGCAAATGATTGACATGTACCCAGCTATCACTAAAATAGTTTTAATATAGTACTTAATGACACTTTTCCATTAAGGAAACCTCAGTTTTCAGTTAGGGAACGCTGGAGCACTTGATGTTTTCTCTCTCCACTACTAGGTCTGACTGAGGAGGTGAAGGTAACCCAGTTAGGAGGCTCACTAGGTTCCATGTGTCTTTCTTTCCATACAGGGAAAGTTGCAGATGTGGGTGGACCTGTTTCCGAAATCTCTGGGTCAGCCTGGCCCCCCTTTCAACATCACGCCACGCAAAGCCAAGCGGTAACTTGTTTTTCGTTTCTTACTCAGTGCCATGCTGGTTCCAGCACTTTCTGTTTAGTGAGGGAAGAGGAGAGGGCTTGGAGATGTCAGATGGGGAGGGATTCACCTGCCTAGCTGAGAAACATCTGTGTGGGCTCATCTTCAGAGGAAGGTGACTCACGTCTTAGCTCCTTCAGCTCAATAGCCGAGTAGCACAACCAGGCTGTCTAGGTGGGCTCTGGACCAAGATTTCCACCCTCTCATGTTGCTTTTGTTCCCGGGGCTGTCCAGGTTCTTCTTGCGCTGCATCATCTGGAACACCAAGGATGTCATCCTTGATGACCTCAGCATCACCGGGGAGAAGATGAGTGACATCTACGTCAAAGGGTAAGCCACCCTGCTTCTGCATCCTCCGATTACCACAGCCCAAAGGCGCAAGAGCAGCAGTGAAGGAGTTAACACGGCCCTTGCATCAGCATTGCTGTGGTAGACAAGAATTCCCACTGGGATGAAGGGGCCATTCACACCTCTCCAGCTATGGATCCCACTTCTCGGCAGACACGTCTCTGCTGGGCTCGTAACTGCTTCACGATGTCAAGTTTTTCTTTGCATCTCTTGGATGCTTGCAGGACAATATTTACATTTAGAGAGATAAGATGTGGGGAAGCAGCCTAGCCACCGGAGAGAGGGGCACGGAGTCTGCATTTCCACTGCTGGCTCCTTCCCACCTCCTCTCCCAGGACAGCCATGGGCTTGTTCCATATATATAGGCTGGCTTGTTTGCATAGCTGCTTTTTTTTGGAATTCCCTTTTTTCCTTGAAACACACAAAAAATGTGGCAACCAGCAGTAACTCCTCTGGCACATTCCCTTCTCTGCCTGACTCCATTTATGTTTTATCTTGTGTAAAATGGTGCAATCCCAGCCAAGGGACTTACTTATTTTGTGCGTTCTTTGGATTTATGGACAGGAAGAGGTAGGATTTTGAAACAGACTGTAAATCCCTTTTTTACAATCCCAATTTTCCTCCTGTAAATCCAGAATGCGCGCTGCTTACCTGGTATTCACATCAAGTGCATTGTTGTCAGCTCCAGCTAAGCTGCTCTGTGCACTTTGGGGCTCTGAAATAGTAGTGCTTGCAGGGTGTTACTGGGAAAGCGACAGCACCCAGCGCTTGCTGAGAGCCCTCTCCTGGCTTTTGGCATCCCCAATGACCAAGCAAATCTCGGAGTGCTGCAAATGAGTTAAAAACCTTGCTCAACTTCCTCATTCCCCCCCTCACCCCAAATGCTTGCATCATTAGCATCCCTGGATGAGGCCTGAATAATCCTATTGGGAGGGGAGGCAATGGTCCTTCTTGTGCTTAACCATCTGCCCTACAGACAGGGGATCCAGTGGGCAAAGTGACCTTCACCACCACGGCATGGTGCTGCGTTGGTGGGGACTCCTCCTTCCATCCACCGCTGCCTCCTGAGCAGGGGCTGGACCCTCCTTTAGGGTGAACTCAATGGATAAGGAGATTTTACCTGTGGCTTTACTTCAGAAGATCACACAGTGCTTCTCTGAGGAGGCTATTGCCAGTTTATTCGCCATTGTACCCATTAGGCGAGGCCAGGGCTGGAATCTCAGTCTCTTGGACATTATCTTCTACATAATATGTAAATTATTCTTGAGTCGGTTAGGCAGGTAAATGAAATAGGAGCTTTGCTGTTAAGCCCGAGGCAGAACTCAGTCGCCGTTTGTTTTATTTAATTTAATCAGTTATTTACTGATAGTCTTACAATAGCATGGAGAGGTCTCAGCCAAGTTTAGGTTGTGCAAGGCTGAGTGCAGAGATCTTCCCTTCCTAAAGACTTGTGCTATAGGCAGACAAAAGAGTGGTAGTGTAGGGAAATCATATTCGTTAGCAACCAAAGATGTTTTTTTGGGTTAACAGCCCTCTCTGTCGCTGTCATAGGCGGAGGATATTTTTGTATTGTTTTCGTAGTGAGATTTCCAATAAAAGGTTTTACTTCCCCAAGAGGATGGACCAACACTGAACCAGGTCTCATGGGAGATGGGAGGTTTTCACTCATCATCTTGCAAGTTTTTCAACATATTTCAAGGTAAAACCAGTACTGCTTTGAGCCAATTGGACTAGAAGTTCCCAGAGTCCCCTTCCAATCATCCACCGCTACTAAAAATTATGTGATATTATGTGGCATCTTTAAAACTCATTTGCATCCCCTTTTGGGTTGCTAAATAAAAGGATGGCCTGGGTCCTCCAAAATCTTATACTCGCCCTGAGCAAACAGAGAGGTGTGTTTGAGAACAAAGTTGCCTCTCAGGTTTAAGAACCTAGTGTCGCCTTTGGATATTGCAGATAGCTTAAGCCACATGGATTTGAAAAATAACAGACGAACTAATGGGCTAAAAATCCCTCCAGTCCTGTTAAGTACAAAACCATTATCTATAGTTCAGGAAATCTCTGACTTACAAATTATTGGAGGTTGGGGAGGTGTGTTGGGAGGGTATCAGGATGTGTTTGCCCCCATCCCGCACTCTTACCTGGATCTCTGCTGTTGGCCCCGGTCAGAGGCAGGATACTGGGCAAGATGGGCCTTTGGCTGGTCACCACGGCCGTTCCTACGTTATGTTTTTAATTCTGGGGCACCATGACTTGAATGATTTTGATTTTGGGCATCTCTTTCCTACAGTAGGGAGTGTGCAGCAAATTCTGCAAGAAAAAATAACAACCCAAATGTGCCAAAGAGGCATCCAAATAAAATGATTTCTTTGTCCTTTTGTTTGCCTGCAAGGAGAGGGCACTCACACTGCATCCTCCGAAGGTCCCTGCCAAACTTTGAAGGATGTGGATAAACAGACAGGCTTGCCGTTTGCATCCTATCAGATCAAATCAAATAATCCAGCCACAATTTCAGTATTAGTGTAACCTCATCACACGATTCCCACTGCCACCAAGCCCTCGCTGTCTGTGTAGCACATGTGCATGTGATGTGTACCGTGGGATGAACTTGAGTAGACCTCCCTTCCTTGTCTCCCACAACACATTTGGGGTGGGTCATGTGCTTCTCTTGAGCACTGGAGAAGAGGGAATAATTTGTGTAGCTGAGCAAAAAAACCCCTTATTTTCAATTTAAGTGGAAAACAATCAAACAAGATAATTGTTTTCATTAGAGATTCTCTCTGAATCTTCTGGCTTTCCTCCAGGAGGGCTCTAAATACACAAATCCTTGTCTCCCACAACACATTTGGGGTGGGTCATGTGCTTCTCTTGAGCACTGGAGAAGAGGGAATAATTTGTGTAGCTGAGCAAAAAAACCCCTTATTTTCAATTTAAGTGGAAAACAATCAAACAAGATAATTGTTTTCATTAGAGATTCTCTCTGAATCTTCTGGCTTTCCTCCAGGAGGGCTCTAAATACACAAATGGATGTGTTTTATTGTTTTGTTTTGTTTCGTTGATTGCTGAAGACTGGAAAAACTT